GAATGCCCTGGAGCAGGGCAGGTTCTGGAGGGCTCTGCTCCCTCCTCCCCTCCCAACATCTCCCTCAATAGGTTCCTTCATCTGGGAGGTGAGGACACAACAAACCTCTTTGTTTACATCTCCTGCTCCAAAATAACCTCTAAATTGCACCCTGGGACCTTCAGGGTTTATATTTAGCTCCTGGAAGCTGCAGCCTGGTCCTTTTCCAGCCTGGGGGGGCCCCTCTCCCAGTGCCCCCCCCGCCCCAGCCCAGCTGGGACCAGCAGCACCATGGGGGGTTCCTGCTGGGGGAGGAACCTGAGCAGCCTCTTCATCCCAGAGCTGGGATGGAGCAGGAGCCTGGGGTGGCTTGGGGGGCAGGAGCTGCAGCTGGGGCTGGATTTGCCCCATGGACCATCCCCTGGGGCCGGATTTACCCCCCTGAGCCTCCCCTGGGGCTGGATTTACCCCCCAGAGCCTCCCCTGGGGCTGGATTTACCCCCCAGAGCCTGACCATCCCCTGGGGCTGGATTTCCCCCCCTGAGCCTCCCCTGGGGCTGGATTTACCCCCCAGAGCCTCCCCTGGGGCTGGATTTACCCCCTGCACCATCCCCTGGGGCTGGATTTACCCCTTGGACCATCCCCTGGGGCTGCATTTACCCCCCTGAGCCTCCCCTGGTGCAGAATTTACCCCGTGGACCATCCCCTGGTGCAGGATTTACCCCCCTGAGCTTCCCCTGTTGCTGGATTTTCCCCATGGACCAACCCCTGAGGCTGCATTTACCCCCCTGATCCTCCACTGGTGCTGGATTTACCTCCCTGAGCCTCCCAAGATGCTGGATTTACCCCCCTGAGTCTCCCCTGGTGCAGGATTTGCCCCATGGACCATCCCCTGGTGCAGGATTTACCCCATAGACCATCCCCTGGGGCTGCATTTGCCCCATGGACCATCCCCTGGTGCAGGATTTGCCCCCCTGAGCACCCTTGGGCAGCTCTGGCTTTGACCTGGTGGCCTTGGCACCTCCCAGGCCCCCGGGGCAGCAGCAGGATGGAGGTGGCCCTGGTGGCAGGAGGGTTGTTTTGCTTGGTGACATTTCTCCTCTGCCCTGCAGTGACTTTTCTCTTCTCATCAAACCCAAATATCTGCTCCAGCCAGTTCTTCCAGCATGGCCAGACCTCCAGGGCTGGGCACTGGTTGGTAACTTGACCTCCACTCTGGTTCCTTTTGCTGCTGGGGGGGTTTCTCCACAACCCTCCCACCCCTCCAAAGACCTGGTCCAAACCAGAAAGCTGCTTAACCTCTGGTTGAACCCCTGGGCTGTGTCCTTGTAAGAACCTCTCCTTTCTCTGTGTCCTTCTGAGAAGCTCTCCTGTTCCCCATGTCCTCCTAAGAAGTTCTTTCCCTGTGTCCTTCTAAGAAGTTCCCCTTTCCCTATGTCCTAAGAAGTTCTCCTTTCCCTGTGTCCTAAGAAGTTCTCCTTTCCCTGTGTCCTTCTAAGTTCTCCTTCCCTGTGTCCTAAGAAGTTCTCCTTCCCCTGTGTCCTTCTAAGAAGTTCTCCTTTCCCTGTGTCCTTCTAAGTTCTCCTCCCCTGTGTCCTCCTAAGTTCTCTTTCCCCATGTCCTTGGAAGTTCTCCTGTTCCCTGCTCTCCACCAATGCCCAAACCTCTAAGATCAAACCCACAGATCCTCTCCAACTTAGTCTTCCCAAGCCCCAGCTGAGAAGTCCTCTGAACCAGAACCAGCCCAGAGATGTTTCCATCATCCCTTCACCATCTCCCTCTGCCCGGAGCTCCGGGCTGAGCTCCCATCTCCCCTCACCTCCCAGACCAGCCCCTTGGCACCATCCCCAGGGTGTTGGTTGGACCTCAGACCGTTTCTCTGTGTTCCTCTCCAGGAGGAGCATGAAGAGGAAGGCCATCTTCACCTGTCCCTTCAACGGGGACTGCAGGATCACCAAGGACAACCGGCGGCACTGCCAGGCCTGCCGGCTGAAACGCTGCGTGGACATTGGGATGATGAAGGAGTGTGAGTACCTGGAGCTGCACCCCTGGGGAATGGTCCAGCTTCCTGCTGGGAGCAGAACATACAGGTCCTCTAGGATCATCTGGTCCCACCTTTCTAGGATGGGAAGTCTCAGCAGATGTTGGGTTGAGTCCGGAAAGTGGCGTTGGAAAGTGGTGGGGAGGGTCCTGGTTCCCTCACCAAAGCACCATCTTCCTGGAGACCTGGGACAAGTGGTGGCCCCAGGGGTTGGTGCTGGGACCAGGGCCATTTCACATCACCTTTGGCCACGGGTGGTGGGATGGATGGATGTCCCCCCAGGCAGGTGCTGAGGGCACCAGGGGTGTGGGGAGGGGACAGGCTGGAGGGCAGGGATCCATCCAGAGGGAGCTGGGCAGGGGGAGAGGGGGGGCTGTGCCAACCTGGGGGGGTCACCAAGGGCAGGGTCCTGCCCCTGGGTGGGGGGGACCCCGAGGACAAGCAGAGGTTGTGGGGAGAAGGGCTGGAGAGCAGCTGAGGAGAAGGAGCTGATCTAGATCCAAGCCCTTCATGTCCAGAGACACCTCCCACCAGCCCAGGTTCCTCCCATCCAACCTTGTCCCCACCCACCTGCAGGACCTTGCCCTGGGCAGCAGGTCCCTCCTGGCAACAGGGGTCCATCCCTCCATCCATCCCTCCATCCCTCCATCCATCCCTCCCTCCATCCCTCCCTCCATCCCTCCATCCCTCCCTCCCTCCATCCCTCCCACCACATGCACAGCAGAAGCTGAAGGAGCAGAGGGAAGGGAAGTGGCTCCTCCCCCAACCCAAACACTCTCACCTTGTCCAAATATTTGTCCTCTCCACCCACGTTTCTGGATGAGCACTTGGGAACGGAGCAGCTGCTGCCCACCTGTCCTCACCCACCTTGGCCACCTCCCAGGGCTTCAGGAGGAGGTTTCCAACCAATGTGACATCCTTCTCCTAGGAGACCATGTCCCCTGGGGTGGCTGAGGAGGTGACAGGGTGGCAGGGAGTGAAGAGGTGCCACCAAGGCACCTGGGTCCTCCAGAAATGCCAAACGTGGGGGTGTTGGCAGGACAAAAAATGTCTCTGTGTCCAGTTGTCCCAAAGCTGGAGCAGATCCCTGATGGGGAGGAGATCCCTGATGGGGAGGAGATCCCTGAGTCCTCTTTTCTTCTAAATGAGCAGCTGAATCCCCCCCAAAAATGGGGGCAAAGTCCCCAGAATATCCAGGTCCACCCCTGGGTGGGGTGAGGAGAAGGTGCCAACCCCTGGTCCACCTGCTCCATCCCCTCAGGGAGAGCTGGAAGCCCCAGCCCTGCAGGGGGTGGTGGCACCTTGGCCAGGTCCCAGGGCCCTGGGTGGTCTCTACAGGAGTTAATTGCTAAACCAGCTCGTTAACGAAGCCTTCCTAGGTTAACAGAACCCGACCTAATGAAGCTAAAAATAGCTTCTCCATGGACTTTGGTGCTGGAGAAATGAAGAGGAACGAGGAGATGTTGCTATTTTTAGGTGGAATCACAGATCTTGAAGTTCTTGAGGGGGGAGGGGGTTGGTGGCTTCTCCAAGCTGTGGTTGAAGGTGGTTGAGGTTGTGATGGGGATGTTATGGATCCTGAGGATGGTTGGTGTCTTCCCCAGGCTGTGGTTGAGGTTGTCACAGGTCTTGAGGGGGTTGGTGTCTTCTCCAAGCTGTGGTTGAAGGTGGTTGAGGTTGTGATGGGGATGTTATGGATCCTGAGGATGGTTGGTGTCTTCCCCAGGCTGTGGTTGAGGTTGTCACAGGTCTTGAGGGGGTTGGTGTCTTCTCCAAGCTGTGGTTGAAGGTGGTTGAGGATGTTATGGGTCCTGAGGATGGTTGGTGTCTTCTCCAGGCTGTGGTTGAAGGTGGTTGAGGTTGTGATGGGGATGTTATGGATCCTGAGGATGGTTGGTGTCTTCCCCAGGCTGTGGTTGAGGTTGTCACAGGTCTTGAGGAGGTTGGTGTCTTCCCCAAGCTGTGGTTGAAGGTAGTTGAAGTTGTTAAGGGCAAACTTGGGCCAGTTTGACCCGGATCTGAGTCTGGAGCAGAAAGGAGAGGATGAGATGGGGAGGAAAGAAGATGGTTTGGGGTCTGGTGCAGATGGAGCCTTCTCCACCCCCGTGGTGGGATGGCCTGGGGGGAGTTGGACATCCCCTCCAGTCCCAATGTTCAGCTCAGAGTCACAGGGTGGTGGGGTTGGGAGGGGGCTCTGGAGCCCCCCCAGTGCCACCCCCAGCACAGCAGGGGCACCTCCAGCAGGTCCCCCAGGATCCAGCTGGGGCTGGGATGGCTCCAGAGAAGGAGAATCCACCACCTCTCTGGGCAGCCTGGCCCAGGGCTCTGCCACCCTCACGAGGGAGGAAAGAAACCAACTGTGGGGCAGAACGGGGGGTGATGGAGCAGTGGGGTTTGGGAGGGGGCTCTGGAGCCCCCCCAGTGCCACCCCCAGCACAGCAGGGGCACCTCCAGCAAGTCCCCCAGGATCCAGGAGGGGCTGGGATGGCTCCAGAGAAGGAGAATCCACCACCTTGCCCAGAGCTCTGTCCCCTCAGGTCTCCTCTCCTGCCCCAGCTGAAGATGCTGCAAAGCATGGAGAGAAATTTCTCCATCACCAAGTTGAGCAGCCAGAGGGACCCACGGGATCCTGGTCCCACCACATGAAATTCTTCTCCCACCACCACTTGACTGGGTCCTGGGGAAGGTCTTTTGGTGCTTCTCATGGTCCCAGTCATCCAGGAACCCAATGAGTGTCCCTGGGAAGGTCCCCAGTGTGTCCTGGTGGGCTTTGTCCCTTTGCAATCAGGTCTTGGACGTGGGTAGAGAAACTGGCAGTGGGGAGCTGGAGGTTGGAGCTGAGGAGGAACTTGTTGGCTGGGAGGGTGGGGAGAGCCTGGGCCAGGGAAGCTGTGGCTGCCCCATCCCTGGGGGTGTTGAAGGGCAGGTTGGCTGGGGCTGGAGCACTGGTGGGAGGTGTCCCTGCCATGCAGGGGGTGGGATCTGGATGGTCTTTAGCTCATGGGATGGTTTGGGTTGGAAGGGACCTTCAAGCCCACCCAGATGATCCCACCAGATGATCTTCAAGGTGCTGCCCCATCCCTGAAGTGTTCCAGGTATCTGATGTAGGGCTTGGAGCAGCCTGGGCTGGTGGGAGGTGTCCCTGCCCATGCAGGGGGTGGATCTAGATGCTCTTTGAGGTCCCTCCAACCCATCCCATGGTTCTGAGCCTTCCTCCCCATCCCCTCAGTCATCCTGACGGACGAGGAGGTTCAGAGGAAGCGGGAGATGATCCTGAAGCGCAAGGAGGAGGAAGCTCTCAAGGAGAGCTTGAAGCCCAAGCTCTCTGAGGAGCAGCAGAAAGTGATTGAGATCCTCCTGGAAGCTCACCGCAAGACCTACGACCCCACCTACTCCGACTTCACCAAGTTCCGGGTACGTCTGGGCCTCCCCAGAGCCTCCCAACCCCTCCCACCCCACCACCTCTCCTGGCTTCAGACCCCAGGAACCTCCAGCTGCTCATGTCCAGTTCCTCATGTCCCACCTCCTCTCCCAGCCCCCCGTGAGGAGCAGCTCCAGCAGCAGGGGGGCAGCCAGGTCCTCCTCCATCCTCACCCAGGATCTCTCCTCAGAAGACTCCACCGACCTCTTTGGCTCCGACGCCTTCAGCACATTCCCAGGTACCACATGGACCTCCTGGTGGGTGGCAAAGCCCTGGGACAGGGTGACCAGAGCAGGATGGGAAGGCTCCTTCTCTGGAGACATCCCAAATTCACCTGGATCCTGTGGGATCTCCTCTAGGTGACCCTGCTCTGCTGGGGGGTTGGACTGGGTGGTCTCCAGAGCTTCTTCCAACCCCACTACTCTGTGACTTTGTGATGGGGGTAGAAGCTCAACAGCTTCACAGAATCGTGGAACCATGGGATGGGATGGGTTGGAGGGACCTTAAAGAGCATCCAGATCCAACCCCCTGCATGGGCAGGGACACCTCCCACCAGCCCAGGCTGCTCCAAGCCCCACATTAGACACCTGGAACACTTCAGTGATGGGGCAGCACCTTGAAGATCATCTGGTGGGATCATCTGGGTTGGCTTTAAAGTCCTTCCAACCCAAACCATCCCAGGAGTTGAATTCTATGATTGTGGGTCTTGCATTATCACATGGTGTGACAATAGAATCATGGAATGGGTTGGGTTGGAGGGACCCTGAAGACCACCTAGATCCCACCCCCTGCATGGGCAGGGACACCTCCCACCAGCCCAGGCTGCTCCAGCCCCAGCCAACCTGCCCTTCAACACCCCCAGGGATGGGGCAGCCACAGCTTCCCTGGCCCAGGCTCTCCCCACCCTCCCAGCCAACAAGTTCCTCCTCAGCTCCAACCTCCAGCTCCCCACTGCCAGTTTCAAGCCCTTCCCCCTCCTGCCCTTGGCCCAAGTCTGGGCCCTCATTCCCTTCCATCACCTCTTCTGGGATCTCATGTCTCTGTGAGACCCTCCTGGGACTGTTCCCAAGGTGTTCTGAGAGCCAGAATCACCATGTTCCTGGCTGGTCCATGGCCTGGCAGACCCCTGAGTGTCCAAGCCCTCCAGGATGTCCTTGAGGAGCATGAAGGTGACCACCAGGCTGCTCCCTGCCTGCTCAGGCTGTGGTTGGACTTGATCCCAGCACAGCAGAGAAACTCAAAGGTCCTGCTGTTTTTCAGTGACCAACTCCTGTCCCAGCCCCATTCCTCATGTCCTCCTGTCCCAAGTCCTCCTGGCAGGATGGATGCTGTGCCCACCATGGGTTGGCATGGCTCTCCTCCCCCTGTAATGTCCTACCTGGGGACCCCCTGACCTTCTCCCTCTCTCCAGAGCCTGTGGAGCCCCCAATGTTCTCCAACCTGGTGCTCTCTGAGGAGAACGACGAGAGCTCCTCCATGAACATTGAGTTCTCCCACCTCTCCATGCTCCCACACTTGGCCGACCTGGTCAGCTACAGCATCCAGAAGGTGATTGGCTTTGCCAAGATGATCCCAGGATTCAGGTGAGACCTTTGTTCCCAGGTCCAGGGCAGTTTTCCACTCAGGAATCCAGTCCCACCCATCTCACCCAGATCATTTTGTCCCTCATCTCCACAGCTTCCCTCAGGCTCTGCTCCCTTCCCAGGTCTCTTCCTACTTTCAGGTTTCTTGTCTCTCCTCTTCTGGGGTTCCTCCTCTTCCTCCTCTCTTCTTCTGGGGATCCTCCTCTTCCTCCTCTTCTCTTCTGGGGTTCCTCCTCTTCTAAGGTTCCTTCTCTCTTGGGTTCCTGCTCTCTTCTTCTGGGTTTCCTCCTCTTCTGGGTTTCCTCCTCTTCCTTCTCTCCTCTTCTGGGGTTCCTTCTCTCTTGGGTTCCTTCTCTCTTCTTCTGGGTTTCCTCCTCTTCTGGGTTTCCTCCTCTTCCTTCTCTCCTCTTCTGGGGTTCCTTCTCTCTTGGGTTCCTTCTCTCTTCTTCTGGGTTTCCTCCTCTTCCTCTTCTTTTCTGGGGTTCCTCCTCTTCTGGGGTTCTTCCTCTTCTGAGGTTCCTTCTCACCTCCTTCCTGGGGTTCCTCCTCTCCTCCTTTACCCTGACTCACCCAGACTCCATCAGCAAAACACTTGAGGTCCCTAAGAAAGCTGCTCGAGATGGTCCCATCCTGGTTTCTGAAGGTTTGGAGCAGCCTGGGCTGGTGGGAGGTGCCCCTGCCCATGCAGGAGGGTTGGAACTAGATGATCTTTAAGGTCCTGGTTCCAACCCAAGTTCCCAACATCTGGGGTTGCCTGAGGAATCACCAGAGTCCAACCCCCTTGCCCAGCAGCTCCATCCCACCCTGCTGGCACCTCCTGAGCCTTCTCTTGAAATGTCCCCATCGCTTTCATTCCCAAGTCCCTGTGTCCCCCCAAGCAATGATTCCAACCCCCCCTTGCCCAGGGACCTGACAGCAGAAGACCAGATTGCCCTGCTCAAGTCCAGTGCCATCGAGGTGATCATGCTGAGGTCCAACCAGTCCTTCACTCTGGATGACATGACCTGGACCTGCGGCAGCAACGACTTCAAGTACAGGGTGAGCGACGTGACCCAAGGTAAGGGCTGAGGGACAGACCAGCCTGGGATCCACCTGGGAAGCCCCATCGTGCCCCTTCTGCAGGGCAGGGGGAGAATCCCACAGTGGACCTTCCCCCCCGCCTTAGGATTTCATCTCATCCCACTCTGGTTTGGGTGGGAGGGACCATGAAGACCATCTAGATCCCACCCCCTGCATGGGCAGGGACACCTCCCACCAGCCCAGGCTGCTCCAGCCCCAGCCAACCTGCCCTTCAACACCCCCAGGGATGGGGCAGCCACAGCTTCCCTGGCCCAGGCTCTCCCCACCCTCCCAGCCAACAAGTTCCTCCTCAGCTCCAACCTCCAGCTCCCCACTGCCAGTTTCAAGCCCTTTCCCCTCAGCCCATCCCTCCTGCCCTTGGCCCAAGTCCCTCCCCAGCTTTCCTGGAGCCCCTTCAGGCACTGGAAGCTGCTCTGAGGTCTCCCTGGAGCTTCTCCTCTCCAGGCTGCCATCTGAGGACCAGCATGGAGAACAAGTTCTGCAGATGTCACATATTAATGGTCCTCAAATCTCTCTTGGAAGAGCCACAGAGTGAACTGGGGACACCAAGATCCTCAGTGCAAGGGCAGGAGTCCCAGGGAGGTCCCATGGGAAGCTGGGGGAGATCCTGCTCCAGAGCAGCCTGTGCTCAGTGCCCTCTTCTCTTCCCAGCTGGTCACAGCATGGACCTGCTTGAGCCACTTGTGAAATTCCAGGTTGGCTTGAAGAAGCTGAACCTCCACGATGAAGAGCACGTGCTCCTCATGGCCATCTGCATCCTGTCCCCAGGTAGGAGGGACATTTGTCCCCCAAGGTCACTGGGCATGCCAGGCTGGGGCTGCATCCCCAGGCTGGTCACCTGTCCCTGCCTCTCCAGCGTGGTTGGTTGGGAAAAGGGAATCATGGAATTCTTGTGGTTGGGAAAGAGCTTCTCCATCGTAGAGTCCACCTGAGAACCCAGCCCTGGGAGGACAAGAAGGTCATTGAGGGGTTGGAAAGTGTCCAGAGAAGGGACAGGGAGCTGGGGAAGGGTCTGGAGGAGCAGGAGAAGGGTCTGGAGAAGCTGTGAGGAGCAGCTGAGGGAGCTGGGGGTGTCCAGCCTGGAGCAAAGGAGCTGAGGGGACACCTTCTGGGTCTGCAGCTGCTGAGAGGAGGTTGGAGCCAGGGGGGTCGGGCTCTGCTCCCCAGGAACAAGGGATGGGACCAGAGGAACCGGCCTCGAGTTGCCCAGGGGAGGTTGAGGTTGGATCTGGGGAACAATTCCTGCCTGGCAAGGGGTGTCAGGGCCTGGCCCAGGCTGCCCAGGGTCCCCAGCCCTGGAGGGGCTTCCAAGGGCTGGAGATGGTGCTGAGGGACGTGGGGCAGGGGGGGCCTTGGCAGGGCTGGGTTGATGGGTGGGCTCCATGACCCTCAAGGTCCTTCCCAACCCAAATGATGCCATGAGAGGCCCCAGGGGGCAGGGCTGGACAAGGGGGGGAAGGGAAGGATGGAGGCCCAGGAGATGCCCAGACTCACCCTGAGCCACCAGCCTCACCTCCCCCTCCCCACAAGGGTCCCCAAGCCCTGGAGATGGTGCTGAGGGACGTGGTTGGGTTCTCATGGTGGGGTTGGGTTGACATCAAGTGGCCTTGATGACCTGGGAGCTCTTTTCCAACCCTCCTGGGCAGATGATTCCGTGACTCCATTTCCCTTCTCCCTCCCCCTCCCCACAAGGGTCCCCAAGCCCTGGAGATGGTGCTGAGGGACGTGGTTGGGTTCTCATGGTGGGGTTGGGTTGATGAGGGGACCTGGGAGCTCTTCCCCAACCCTTCATGGGCAGATGATTCCGTGACTCCTTCCCCTTCTCCCTCCCCATCCCGGGAGGGTCCCCAAAGCCTTGAAGGGACACCAAGCAGTGATCACCACCTCCCCAACCCCACTCCCAACCCTCCCACCCATTCCCACCTCTCCTCCTTTGCTGTCCCTCAGACCGCCCGGGCGTGCAGGACACTTCCCTGGTGGAATCCATCCAGGACCACCTCTCCGAGATCCTCCAGACCTACATCCGTTGCCGTCACCCCCTCCCGGGGAGTCGCCTCCTCTACCCCAAGATGATCCAGAAGTTGGCAGATCTGAGGAGCCTCAACGAGGAGCACTCCAAGCAGTACAGGTGCCTGTCCCTGCAGCCCGAGCACAGCATGCAGCTCACCCCCCTGGTCCTCGAGGTCTTTGGCAACGAGATCTCCTGACTCCAAGGACGCTTTTTGGTTGGAAGGGGTGGGGGGGATGGAGGGAGAAGCCACCCAAGAAAAAGGGGCCTCCCCACCCCCAGGAGACCAGATGGAAGGGGTCTGGTGGGACCTGGGCAGGAGTTTTGGCCACAGCTTTGGTTGCACAGGACTTGGTGGAGAGAATCAGCCACTCAGGAAGGTTGGAAATGACCTGGAGGATCATCCCAAAAGTCCAACCATCAACCCCACCCCCACCCGTGACAACGAAACCATCTCCCCAAGTGCCACATCTATGTGTTTTCTGAAGCCCCTCCAGGGCTGGGGACCCTGGGCAGCCTGGGCCAGGCCCTGACACCCCTTGCCAGGCAGGAATTGTTCCCCAGATCCAACCTCAACCTCCCCTGGGCAACTCGAGGCCGGTTCCTCTGGTCCCATCCCTTGTTCCTGGGGAGCAGAGCCCGACCCCCCTGGCTCCAACCTCCTCTCAGCAGCTGCAGAGCCAGAAGGTCTCCCCTCAGCTCCTTTGCTCCAGGCTGGACACCCCCAGCTCCCTCAGCTGCTCCTCACAACTTCTCCAGACCCTTCTCCAGGT